TATATATATATATATATATATATATATATATATATATATATATATATATATATATATATTAGTACTTAATGTTAAAATTATGAGTTAATACTCAATTTAGTCCTCGATTATAGTAGTATTTTTTGATTTAGTCCTAAACGACTTTTTGTATTTAATTAGGTCTTCGACTTTGATGATTTTACCTAATTGAGTCTTTGACTATTAGAATCAAGAACTAAATCGAGAAAAATCATTATAGTTGAGAACGAAATTAGGTAAAACCATTATAGTCGAAGACTAACTTGGATAAAACTACTATAATCGATGATTGAATTTGGTATTAATAGATGTGAGATAACCAAACTATCTTAACAGAGGACTCAATTGAGTAAAATCATCAAAATTAAGGACCTAATTAAGCACAAAAAGTCGTTTAGGACTAAATCAAGAAAAATAACTATATTCGATGACCTAATAGAGTATTAACTCTTAAAATTATAGTTATATTGAAATATATTTTAGAAAAATATACTCCATAGCATAAAATTTTTTTAAATGTTATAAAATTCATTTATTTTTTTTTTTGGTACATCAATCTAAAGACTCAAGAAGAGCATTATCTAACACGGAGACTAGGTAGACTCCGAGCATCGGCATTGAGCAGCCCACTCAACTTCACCGGGGCGTAATGTTATAAAATTCATAGTTATACAAGTTATATCATATTAAAAAGTATAATTGATAATTCGGGCTATAATTATGGTATGATTAATAATTGTTAACGTAATAATTGTAGATATGGTAAATGATTACATATTGTCAAATGAATCTAGAGTGTAATTAAAATAATACTTTAATATTATTATAATTAAACAAGTGTGTGTGAAAAATGAAACTACAAAATAGAACTCATGAAATTATATATATATATATATATATATATATATATATATATATATATATATATATATATATATATATATATATAGTCGTATATAGTCGAGTTCAGGTGTGGCGATCCCTTCCCGTGCAGTCGTGTGGCGATTTTCAGAATACACTAATAGTTAAGCAAAATATACACCATCAACGGTAGAAAATGCACTACAAAAACATACACAAATAGGTATGCATCACCAACAACACACCATTAGGTAGGACTAAAAGTACCCCGACAGTGTTCGAAAATACACCATTAGTGGTAGGGAGGTATATGGTGTATTTTTTTTTGGGTGTATTGTGTATTTTTTGGTGTAGTTTTTCATTTCATTGTTGTGTGTTTCTCTTACGCTATTGGTGGATATTGTTAACACTATTGGTGTATTCTGAAAACCGCAGCACTGGAGGGTGTCGCCGCATTTGAACTTTTTCCTATATATATATATATATATATATATATATATATATATATATATATATATATATATATATATATATATATATATATATATATATAGTAAAATGAAACTGTAGTATAATTAAAATGATACTTTGGTATTGCTATAATGAAACTAGTGTGTGGAAAATGAAACTAAAAAAAAAAACAAAGTAATATTATCAAATTAAACTGAAGTGTAATTAGGATGATACTTACTGCATTGACCACACTGCTACATGGACCATGGTAAAAATTTGCCCCTAAATAGAGTCTAGTGTTACTAGGTGATGGCCTTTGGGCTTAGGCCACACTCCACCCAAATGATGGTAGATGTATTCAAGGACTTCTTGGGCAACATTATAGAGATATATGTAGATGATATGCTAGTCAATAGTAGGGAGGCTCAGTGTCACCCTGAGTACTTGACTTTACGTTTCGAGGTAAAAAAGCAACTCAACATACTCATGAACCCAAATAAATGCCCTTTCGTGAGAAGGGGAGAAAATTCCTCGAATTCATGATTGCATAGAGGGAGATAGAGGTGAACCCTAAAATGACCATTTGTTCCAAGACATGCAACCTTCAGGAGGCAGTTCCAGTTTGTAGGCTACCTTTCCAACCTTAGCTATGACTTTGAATGGTCCATAGAATCTTGCAGTAAGCTTAACGTTGGATCTAAATGGCCACTGATACCTGTTTATAGGGTTGTATTTTTAGGTAGATCCAATCTCCTACCTCAAAGCTTCTTTCACTTCTGTGTTTGTCAGCTTGCTGTTTCATTCTTGCTTGAGCCTTTTGCAAATTCTCTTTAAGGATAGCCACCATAGTAGCTCTCTCTTTGAACCACTCACTCCCTTCCGCTTCTGTCACCTTGTCAAAAGTTATGGCTGGTGGCAAGTAACCATAGAGAGCTTGGAAGGGAGAACACTGGAGGGATGTGTGGTAGTTGGTGTTGTACCAATACTCGGCTAGGTGCAACCACTTACTCCATGCCTTGGGCTTGTGGAAGACCATACACCTCAAATAGGTCTCCAAGCACCTATTAACCCTCTCTGTCTGACCATTAGATTGGGGATGATAGGCTGATGACATGCTCAGATTCACCTGCAATTGTTTGAATAAAGACTGCCAAAACTTGCTTACAAAGACTTTGTCTCTATTACTTACAATACCTTGAGGGATGCCATGGAGTTTATAGACATGCTCCATGAAGACCTCAGCTACCTTCTCAACAGTGTAGGGATGTGATAGGGCTAGGAAGTGACTGTATTTGGTGAATCTGTCTACCACTACCACAATTACCTCATTTCCATGAGACATGGGCAGACCTTCAAATCCATTGATATGCTTTGTCAAGCCTGCTCTGGGATTTTAAGGGGCTGTAGTAACCCTGGATATGCCACATTTTCCTCCTTACACTTATGGCAAACATCACAAGCCCTAACTGTTGCTATCACTTCACTTTTCATTCCCTTCCAGTAGAAGAGTTGTTTGAGTCTGTGGTATGTTATATGTTGCCCTGAATGAACCCTATGGGAGGGTTGTGTAACTGCATCAAGAGCTTGCCCCTTAGGTCTCCTTTCTGCCCCACATACAGCTTCCCTTTGTACCTGATCAATCCATCATTTACAGTAAATAATGAGGTTGCCTATGGTATAATCAACTGCTTAGTTAATACCTTGGCAGCTAGCTCATCCCCTTCATAACTTTTAAGGATTTCCTCAATCCAAAGTGGTCTAACAGATGAAATAGCTAATAATTCAGCTTGTTCCCTAGCACCTCTCCTAGATAAGGCATCAGCTACACAATTCTCTTTCCCTTTCTTATACTCAATCACATAACTCAACCCCAGTAATTTGGTGAGACCCTTTTGTTGCATAGCCGTGGTTATTTTCTGTTCCAGCAAAAATTTTAGGCTTTGGTAGTCAGTTCTAATGGTGAATGGTCTACCTACCAAATAGGACCTATACTTGTCCACTGCATTAATAATGGAAATGTATTCTTTTTCATAGATGGATAATCCCAAATGTTTGGCCCCAAACCCCTTGCTGAAATAGGCCACTGGCCTCCCTTCTTGCATTAGAACTGCTCCCATGCCCTTGTAGCAGGCATCAGCCTCTACAATAAAATCCTTGTCAAAGTCAGTCAATGCCAGTACTAGGGCATTACACAAGGACTGTTTCAGTTTTTCAAAAGCAACTTCAGAATCCACACTCCACTAAAATGCATCCTTCTTCAACATATTTGTAAGTGGTCTACTTATGACTCTATAGGACTGAATGAACCTCCTGTAGTAGCCAGTGAGGCCTAGAAATCCCCTCAATTCCTTAATACTGGTTGGTTTAGGCCAGGCTGCCACAGCAATCAATTTAGCTGGATCAGTTTGTAATCCTCTTTCAAAGATGATATGACCAAGGTATTCAACCTCCCTCTTAGCAAAAGAACATTTACTAAGTTTGGCTAACAGCTGGTTTCCCTTCATGATTTCCAGAACTTCCCTTAAATGCTCTCAGTGACTGTTTATGGAAGGGTTGTATATTAGTATGTCATCAAAGAAAACAAGCACAGTTTTCCTATCAGGGTCCTAAATACATGGTTCAAAAGGGATTGGAATATAGCTGGAGCATTGGTCAAGCCAAAGGGCATCACCGTGAATTCATATAATCATTGGTGTGTCCTAAAGGCTGTTTTATATTCTTCCCCCTCCTTCATCCTAACTTGATGATAGCCAGCTCTCAAGTCCAACTTAGTGAATATCTTGGCATTGGCTAATTCTGAAAACAGATCCTCAACCAGTGGAATTGGAAATTTATTTTTAACTGTTATACCATTCAATGCTCTATAATCTATACAGAACCTCCATGAGTTATCCTTTTTAGGGACTAGTAGAACTGGTGAGGCAAAGGGGGAAGTGCTGTGGGAAATGATTCCAGCTGACAACATTTCCTCCACCATTTTTCTATGGTATTCTTCTGTAAGAATGAATACCTGTAGGGCTTGGAATTAATTGGTTTAGCTCCTGGTACCAATGGGATCTCATGGTCAAAGGGCCTCCTAGGTGGCAGTGTCTTAGGATCCCCAAAAAACTCTTGGAATTCATGTAGAATAGCAGTCAACTCAAGGTGTTTTGTTTCTGTCTCACTTGAGGGGTTGCTGCCTTGAACCATGCCTTGTAATAGGTACCCTTGCACTCCTTCATTTTCCATCTCCTAACTTCCTTCTTAGTAGTTTGTTGCAGTATAATACCTTTGGTCAACCCCTTTAACAGCACTCTTTTTCCATCCTTATGGAATGATATTCCTGGGGGTTTGTAACACCCCACTTTTCTTAACTCTTAATCACAACTCTAAACATTCATTAACATAAACTAAGCAGCGGAAATTAATGACTAAAAAGATAACTAGTGGGAGTGTCACCGCCACAACCACTACTCCGTGATGATTGCACAGGCTAAGGGGTAAAACTAAAAATAAAGTAAATATCTTGCATCCATATAGAATACTGAAAACATAAGGGGGAAAAACATCACCCCAATAGTCTACAACATCCTCAAAACCATAAAGTCGATAAGTCTAAAATCCATAACATAATCATCAATAAAACTAGAGTTTAGATATCTCTAACTACGAGACTAATCTAACTCGAC